CTGCGAAAATGCCTTTGATATTTTGATAGGGACTGCACTGAATCCATAGACTATCTTGGGCAGTATGGTCCTTTTAATGATGCTGATTTGTCCAATCCATGTGCATGGTACATCTTTCCATTTGTTTGTCTTATTTACCATTTCTTTCATCAACATTTTACAGTTTTCAGAGTACAGGTCTTTCACTTCCTTGGTTAAATTTATTCCTAGGTATTTACTCTTTTGATTCAATTATAAATAGGACTGTTTCTTAATTTCTGATACTTCATTGTTCAAACAGATAAGTGCAACAGACCTCTGTACATTAAGCTTGTATCCTGCAACTTTCCTGAATTTACTTACGGAATTCAATTTTTGAATAACAATTCACTTATTGAATAACAGTTTTTTGTGAAGTCTTTGGGGTTTTCTATATAAATTGATAGCATCATGTCACCTACAGTGACAGTCTTATTACTTCCTTTTTAATTTGGATTTCTTTTATGTGTGTGTGTAGTGCTTTCTTCTTGCCTAACTGTTGTGACAAAAACTTCTAACATTATGTTGAATGAAAGTGGTGAGTATCTTTGTCTTATTCCGTTTTTTATAATTTTTAAAATTTATTTAGTTTTGGCTGCACTGGGTCTTCGTTGCTGTGCACGGGCTTGCCTTCATTGCAGCAAGTGGGAGCTACTTTTCATTGTGATGCACGAGCTTCTCATTGTGGTAGCTTCTCTTGTTGCAAAGCACAGGCTCCAGGCACAAGGACTTTAGTAGTTGCAGCATGCCGGCTCAGCAGCTGCAGCATGCGGGCTCTAGAGTACATACTCAATAGTTGTGGTAGATGGGCTTAGTTGTTCTGTGACGTGTGGAATCTTCACATACCAGGGACTGAACCCATGTCCCCTACACTGGCAGGCAGATTCTTATCCACTGTGCCACTAAGGAAGTCCCTTGTCTTATTCCTGATCTTAGAGCAAAAGCCTTCAGATTTTCTCCATTGAGTATAATGTTAGCTGTGGGTTTTAAAATACGTGTGACCTTTATTATGTTGAGGTAGGTTCCCTCTATGCCTACTTTGCTGACAGTGAAAAGTGAAAGTGACAGTCACTCAGCTGTGTCTGACTCTTAGTAACCCCATGGACTATACAATCCATGGAACTCTCCAGGCCAGAATACTAGAGTGGGTGGCCTTCCCTTCTTCAGGGGATCTTCCCAATCCAGGGATCATCCCCATGTCTCCTGCATTGCAGGCAGATTCTTTACCAGCTAAACCACAATGGAAGCCCAAGAATACTGGAATGGACAGCCTATCCCTTCTCCAGCAGATCTTCCTGACCCAGGAATTGAACCAGGGTCTCTTGCATTACAGGCAGATTCTTTACCAACTGGGCTATCAGGGACAGTTCTTGTCATAAATAGGTGCTGAACTTTGTCTAATGCATCTTCTGCATCTCTTGAGATGATGTGGTTTTTATTCTTAAATTTGATAATGTGATGTATCTAATTAACTGATTTGTAGATATTGTACCATCCTTGCATCCCTAGGATAAATCCCACTTGATCATGGTGTATGATCCTTTCAACGTATTTGGTTTGGTTTGATATTTGGTTTGATAATATTTTGTTGTGGATTTTGCATTTACATTCATCAATGATATTAGCCTGTAACTGTGTGTGTGTGTGTGTGTGTTATCAGGTTATTACCTGGTTGTTATCAGGATGATGGTGGCCTCATAGCATGAGTTTAAAAGTGTTCCTTCCTCACTAACTTTCTGAACAGTTTGAAAAGGAAAAGTATTAACTATTCTTTAAATGTTTGGTAGAATTCACCTATGAAGCCATCTGATCCTGGACTTCTGTTTGTTAGAAGTTGTTTTTTATTACTGATTTAATTTTATTACTGGTAATATAGTCTATATTCTGTTCATATATTTTATTTCTTTCTGATTCAGTCTTGCGAGTTTGCACATTTCCAGGAATTTATCCATTTCTTCTATGCAATCCATTTTATTAGCATAAATTCTTCATAGTAATCACTTATAATTTTTGTATTTCTGTGGTGTCAGTTTTAACTTCTCCCTTTTTATCCCTGATTATATTTGGGCCCTCTCTTCTTTTTTCTTGATGAATCTAGCTAAAAGTTTATCTATTTCGCACATATTTTCAAGACTTCCCTGGTGGCTCAGTGGTAAATAATCTGCCTGCCAATGCAGAAGATGCAGGTTCGATCCCTAGGTCAAGAAGATCCCCTAGAGAAGGAAATGGCAACTTGCTTCAGTACTCTTGCCTGGGAAACCCCCATGAACAGAGGAGCCTGAGAGGCTACAGTAAATGACTTCATGAAAAAGTCAGACATGAACCAGAGACTAAACAACAATACCATATATTATCAAAGGACCAACTCTTAATTTCATTGACCTTTTATGTTTTTAGGTCTCTCTTTCAGTTATTTCCACTCTAATCCTTTATTTCCTTTTTTCTGCTAACTTTGTGTTCTGCTTGTTCTTCCTCTAGCTTCTTTAATGTGCATTTCAATTATTTGAGATTTTTCTTATATCATGACGTGGGCCTGTATCACTATGAACTTCCCTCTTAGAACTGTTGTATCTTTATCCCTCTTTGACTTTTCAATGATCCATTGATTGTTTAGTCTCCATATGTTTGTGGGCTTCTTTTTTTCCCAGTTTTCTTCTTGTAGTTAATTTCTAATTTCATACCAGTGAAATCCAAAAAGTTGTCTGACATATGCTGGAAAGGGTGTGAAGAAAAGGGAATCCTCCTACACTGTTAATAGGAACGTAAACTGGTGCAGCCACTATGGAAAACAGTATGGAGCTTTCTCAAAAAACTAAAAATAGAGTTGCCATATGATCCAGCAATCCCACTCTCGGGCATGTATCTGCAGAAAACCATAATTTGAAAAGCTGTATGCACCCCTATGTTTACAGCAGCACTATTTACAATAGCCAAGATAAGGAAACAACCTGAATGCCCATTGACAGACAAGTGGATAAAGAAGATGTGATACACACACACAATGGAATGTTACTCAGCCATAAAGAAGAAGGAAATAATGCCATCTGCTGCTACATGGACAGACCTAAAGTTTACCATACTAAGTGAAATCAGAAAGAGAAAGACAAATACCATACGGATATAAGTCCTTTATCAAGTATCTCCTTCACTTTGTGACTTGCCTTTTACCTCTCCTTAATAGTATCTTTTTTCTTTAAATTTTATCTATTTGTTTTTGGCTGTGCTGGGTCTTTACCACTGCCCCAGCTTTCCCTAGTTGCAACAAATGGAGGATACTCTCCAGTTGCAGTGCACGGGCTTCTCACTGCGGTGACTTCTCCTGTTGCAGAGCACAGGTTCCAGGAAGCACAGGCTTCAGCAGTAGCAGCACATGGGCTCAGGAGCTGTGGTTCCCAGGCTCTAGAGCACAGGCCCAATAGTTGGGGCGGACAGGCTTATTAGTTGCTCTGCAGCATGTGGGATATTCCCGGACTAGGGCTCGAACCCATGTCCCCTGCCCTGGCAAGTAGATTCTTTAGCACTGAGTCACCAAGGAAGCCCTCCTTAATGATATCTTTTGAACAACAGACCTTCATTTTAATGAAGCACAACTTATCAATAAAGGATCTCTGTCCACCCCTAGGCCAGAAGGGATATTTTCCTGTGGTTCCTTCAAGGTGCACAACTGCTCCACATCGCACATTTATATTGACCGTCCATCTGGAATTCAGTTTGTAGTACATGCTGTGAAATCAGGTTCAAGATTCACTGGTTTCAATATGATCCAATACCATTTATTGACCAGGCCATCAATCTTCAGGCCAATCAGTCCAGTGTCACCTATTGTAATGGACATCATTTCCCCACTGTACTGCAATACCACCTTTTTCACATCACTGGAAGATAAACATGATGGTCTATTTCTGGACCCTCTATTCTGTTTCATTATTGTCTTTGCCTCCAAACCACAATGTCTTATTTTATAATAGTCTCATTTTTAGCTCTCAGTGGGAAAGCTTTCAGTATTTCACAACTGAATATGATGTGTGCTACAGGCTTTTAGATATCCTTTATTAGATTAAGAAAATTCCTTTCTACTCTTATTTTGCTAAGAGATTTTTTTATCATGAAGTCATTTTGATTTAAACTATTTTAAGAAAGTTATTAAAATGGGTCCTGCACTACAGCTCCCTTTCCAGAAAAGCACACCACCAAACTTACACAGTTCCAGAGTCATAGTAAGCTGCACTTACCTCCACACCCATCTGAATGGTAAACTATATCAGAGCTCCACTCCCATCTGTACTATCTCCATGCTCACTCAGCAACATTTCCACTCTGTTAAATAATTTGAGGTGGTTTCTAGTCATGCTGAACTGCTATCAACTTTGGAATATCGATTTTGACATCAATTTTGTTTTTGTCAATGCTCTGATTTTGTGTGATATCTCCATAACTGTATTTTTCCCATATATTTTGTTGGCTACAGTGCATAATCTTTTAGAATGTGATATTTTTCAACAATGCAGAAATATTATAGAAAAAATACACAAAAATGTCACAGAAGAAGACAGCCAAGTCAAACTTCATTTGAGCATATATACTGCCTAGTTTTAATTATGACTGATCATGTCTAGCCAATCAGACAGAAACATACAAATGAACTGATTGTAATTCAATTCTATTCAAATGCAGATAATGAGGAGTAAAATATTATCTATTTGATTGTAGGAAATTAAAAATAATTACTTGACATAGTATATAAAAAAACATGTTCTGACAGCCAACAATAGTTATTTCATTGTTGCTATTAGATGCGAGCCAAAATTACTCATCAGCTATGCTGAACAGAGATCAGGAATGATTTTATAGCAGTGTATCATAATATGATTAATCATGGCTTCAAAAAGATTGCTTATTAACCAGTACTACAAAATAAACATATATAATACTGCCAAAAATGATCACTATTTGTGTCTTATAATTTATAGGTCCATACTTACCCTCACACTTTTCAAGAATCTGGACTGTTTCTCCTATTTCTAAGACCAAGCCTTGGGGAACAGATCCTCGAAAGCTGCATATCACTAGAAAATCAAAGATAAACATGTCAATTAGGATTTTTAAATACTGATATAGAGTCTGTGTCACTGAAATTAGGCACTGAATTTTCTTAAATATATGCTCTCTCTTTTAATTCATTTTTCAAATACGTAAGCCCCTGTTAAGTCCTTGCAGGCATCTACATATTAACAATAAGACAGCTTTTCCTAAGGTCAAAAGTGTGCAATCTCTGAGCCTATCTTACAGTAAAATTAAAATAAATCGAATTAGCACTTAAGAATTTAACATCATCACATCATCCACTCCTTAACAAATTCTTTATCAAGATCCTTGCTATTATTTCAATCTCCAGAGCATTCAGCACTCCTGTCTTCTTAACCTTTGCCATTAATTGACAAGAACATTAAAATCATGAACAAGCTTCCACTGTTGGAAACTGGGTGTTTTGTGCATATTCAGAGAACCTATGTAAACTTCCCATTTTAATAACTATCTTCATTCAAGACTGGCTTTCAAATGATTTTTCAAATTAATGTATAAATAGAAAAGAAAACAATTATATTTGCTAGAAAAACAAAAGGCTTGAAAAAAAAGTAGAGCTTTCTGTCTACAACCATGGGCCTATTTTCGGGCCTATATAGTCTATTTGCAGGAATATCACAAAGAATAAACCTGTTAGTTATAGATGGTTTCACTCTATTCTTCTCTATATCTGTCAGGTATATCAGATGTCACTGGTCACTGTAAGCTCCAAGAATTTGAAAAAGAACAGATACACATTCATATGTAACTAAAACACTTTGCTGTACACCCGAAACTAGCACAACATTTTTTAATCAACTTTACTCCAACATAAAATTTAAAAAAATTTTTTAAAGAAAGATAAAATAATCTCTGCCTACAAAAAATTTATCATTTCATTGGTGGTGGTGGGATAAGGAGTGTGAGATGAGAGGGAAAAAATGCACCATCCATAAGGTGCTACAAGACCTGTCTGCCCTGAGATCCACTCTCTGTCCTCCTCCCCTGCACTCAATGCCCCAAGGGAGTTTGCTCTCACAGGCAGCATCAACAGCCTCCTCCCTGCCCCATGGCTGGTTGGGTCAAGTGGGTGGAGAAGACTGCCAGATGCTGGAGGACTGGTGAGATTGGGATGTTTATTCCTGCAGGGTTCTGGGGTGCGGCTGCATCCCTCCCATGAAGGATGTGGATTTCCCAGGTGGTGCAGAGGTAAAGAACCTGCCTGCCAATGCAAAAGATGCAGGAGACTCAGGTTCAATCCCTGGGTCTGGAGGACCCCCTGGAGGAGGACATGGCAATCCACTCCAGCATTCTTGCCTGGAGAATCCCATGGACAGAGGAGGCTGGCGAACTACAGTCCATAGGGTCATGAAGAGTTGGACATGACTGAAGCCACTGAGCACACACACAAATGTACAGACAAGTTAGTGGCATAATCAGAAAGAGAGGAACTATTCCAAATAATGTGTCAAGAGAAAGCAATTTGACTATATATCCCTAATGGAACATATTCTAAGGATTTAAAAAAACTTCAAAAAATCTTAGTCTGTTTTCACTAATCATACTGTGGATATATTGATTAGTAGTGCTATTCTACAACTGTTGTGTGAGTACTGGAGAATAAAGCAAGTAAATAATTATTTAGGAATTTGCTTTTAAGGTACAGAAAATGCCGATGTAAGATTTATGAAGTGAAGACAATGTAGTAATGCACAGTTCTGGGTGAGGGCTATAAACAATGACAAATCTCTAGCACTAAAATTATGATTTCTAAATATACTATTTCCCACTAAAAGGAACCAGGGCTCCTTGGGGAAAAGCCAAGTTTAGGACAGAAAATGCTTAACATAAGCGTGGAATACCTTATCATACTAAAAACCAAGGAAGTTATGATTAATAGCTAAACTACTATGGTTAGGTTAAAAGAACTTTCAGCACCAGGAGAGTTCCACTACTCACTAAAAGAATAGTATATCAATATATTTACATTCATAAGTTAATAAGACTGATGATTCCCCAAAAAGCTTATTGGTCACTTTTCAAGGGTTGCTAGGGAATCAATTTACTACTATGAAAATTCACAAAACAGGGGAAAAAACAGAACAGAAAACATGCTTTTCTAACACAAACTAGACTTCAGTATACCCACATAGTTGATGAGAAGTTTCTCTATAAAAAATACTCTAGACAACAAATAAAGAAGTGATGGCAAAGGTAGAATATCTCCATTTGGTGACTCCCAATAAATGAATGGGTATAGGAAATGATCATTGGTAGCTCTAACATCATGAAAAGAGGAAACAAGAAACTATATAACTACTAAACAAAGTACCACATGAAGAAATCATAAAATAAAACTTAAACCCAAATATGGTGATGCTTATAGAATGGTCAACTTAAAGGAAATACTGTGAATAAGGAGCATATTAAATGAATTCACAGAAATATGATTAGCAAGATTCAGATCATGGGACAAAAAGTGCAGTTTCTTTAACAAAACACTGCAAGAAAAAAAAAAAGAGATGGAGAACTCAATAAAACAGCCTTCAGCTGTATCAACTCCATATAATACAGTAGTACCAAAAATAACAAGACACTTAGGGATAAATTTAATCAAAGAGGTACTGAAAACTACAAAACACTGCTAAGAGAAATTAAAGATCTAATTAAGTATAAAGACACCCCATGTTCATGAATTGGTAGAATTGATATTAAGATGACACTACTACCCAAGGTAGTCCACAGATTCAATGGACTCTCCATCAAAATCTCCAAGAAATAGAAAAACACATCCTAAAATTCATATGGAATTTCAAGAGACCCAAATATCCAAAACAATCTTAACAAAGAACAAAGTTAGACAACTCTCACTTTCAAACTTCAAAACTTACTACAAAAGTACAGTAATCAAAATAGTGTATAGTACTGGATAAGGATTATATGAATCAATGGAAAATATATTAAATTCCCTATATATAAACATTCAAGTTGCAAACCTTCAAAGATGCAAATGTGCATTTTCATGTCCAACTATGTAAGTTAGTTCCATCTGGTGTACACTGTCATGTGCGTGCATGCTCTACAAGCGGTGGTGCTTCTGTGTATTTACTGTGTAGTATCATACAGAACAGGGCTTCCCAAGCGGCTCAGTGGTAAAGAATCCACCAGCCACTGCAGGAGACACAGGGGACACAGGTTCGATTCCTGGGTCAGAGGAATCTGGAGGAGAAGATGGCAGCCAGGAGGAGGTAATGGCAGCCCACTCCAGTATTCCTGCCTGGAGAACACCATGGACAAAGAAGCCTGGCAGGTTGTAGTCCATGGGGCTGCAAAGGAGTCAGACATACTTAGTGACTAAGCAACAACAACATAGTTAATATATGTTAAGTACTTAGAATAGTACCTGGTACAAAGCAAAGTACTATGTAAGTGTTTGAAATTATTATTCCGCTATTTATTTTTTAAAGTACATACATATATATGTATATTGTATACATATACTGTCACCCTGCTTATTTAACTTATATGCAGAGGACATCATGTGAAATGCTGGGCTGGAGGAAGCACAAGCTGGAATCAAGACTGCCAGGAGAAATATCAATAACCTCAGATACACAGATGACACCACCCTTATGGCAGGAAGCGAAGAAGAACTAAAGAGCCTCTTGATGAAAGTGAAAGAGGAGAGATAAAAAGTTGGCTTTTTCACTCAACATTCAGAAAACTAAGACTATGGCATCTGGTCCCACCACTTCACAGCAAATAGATGGGGAAACAATGGAAACAGTGACAGGCTTTATTTGGGGGGGCTCTAAAATCACTGCAGATGGTGACTGCAGCCATGAAATTAAAAGACACTTGCTCCTTGGAAGAAAAGCTATGACCAACCTAGACAGACAGCATATTAAAAAGCAGAGACATTACTTTGACATTAAAGGTCCATCTAGTCAAAGCTATGCTTTTTCCAGTAGTCATGTATGGATGTGAAAGTTGGACTATAAAGAAAGCTGAGCACCAAAGAATTGATGCTTTTGAACTGTGGTGTTGGAGAAGACTCTTGAGAGTCGCTTAGACTGCAAGGAGATCCAATCAGTCCATCCTAAAGAAAAATCAGTCCTGAATATTCATTGGAAGGACTGATGCTGAAGCTGAAACTCCAATACTTTGGCCACCTGATGCGAAGGACCAACTCATTGGAAAAGACCTTGATGCTGGGAAAGACTGAAGGCGGGAGGAGAAGGGGACGATAGAGGATGAGATGGTTGGATGGCATCACCGACGCTATGGACATGAGTTTCAGTAAACTCTGGGAGTAAGTGATGGACAGGGAAGCCTAGCATGCTGCAGTCCATGGGGTGGCAAAGAGTCGGACACAACTGAGCAACTGAACTGAACTGAATATACACAGAAAGAGTGTGAAATATCAAAACATTTATAATAATTACCTGGGGTGGATGAGGAGAGAAGTGGGGATACACATGGGGGAAATGACTTAAGAGGCTTTAAGAGTACTACTTTCTATAGTTTTTTAAAAGCTGTATGAATTTTTTAAAAATTAAGTACACTGTATTTGCCTATACCGTGTATAAGCACACTGCCTCTACATAAAGGCATTCTACAATGTCTTTAAAGTCGTACTCTTTTCAGTATAATTCTAGTAATGCAAAAATATCATAAGATCAACACTAAAATTAATTTTCTTCTACTTGAAATAAAAGAAATCATCATTGCTAAATCTTTTAGTACAAACACTAGCCATCAGAACAGAATTCTGAGTCTTCCCTTTTATTTTTAACTTTTTAACAACACACTAAAATTTATTCTACAAACAAAATTCTTTGAGCAAGAAATTTAAAGAGACTATTCCATTTTATCTCATCAAAATTATCAACAAGTAATTTTTAAAGATTAACATACACAGCCTATAAAGTAGCTGCCATGTAAAGCAAATTAAGCAGTGAGTCTCCACTTTTAAATGAAAACCAGCTACTTACAAATTAAG